GAAAAGAGACTCCAGGTTTAGTGTGGGTAGGTGATGGGGCCTGGCTGAACCTCCTTCATCTGTTTCCCTTGCTCTTGACTTTCCCTTGGCAGTCTCTAACTTGTAGCCCTCTGTCACCACTACTCACAAGGACACTGGCCACCATATTACCCTAGTCCCCTTTCTGTAATTGTTGACTTCTGTACTGATTGTCCCCCAGTAATATACAAGCTTTCTGAAGTAAGAGAACACATCTTCAGCTGTATTAGGCAGAGTTCTACAGAGGAGTAACCAATACGCAATGTGAGATCAGATATAAATATATAGATGCATACATATATATGTGTATACGCATGCATGTGTGTATATAGACAGAGAGAAAGAGACAGAGACAGAGAGATTTATTTTAAGGAATTGTGTGGCTGGCAAGTCTGAAATCCACAGGGCAGGCTGGCAGGCTGAAAATTTAAGTGAGGGTTAATGCCATAGACTGGAGTCCTGAGTTCGAATTCCACAAGGCAGCAGGCTGGAAACTCAGACAGGGTTTCTATGTTGTAGTCTCAAGGAGAATTCCATCTTCTTTAGGAAACCTCAATCTTTGCTCTTAATGCCCTCAACTGATTGGACAAGGCCCACCCATAGTATGGAGGGTAACCTGTTTTACTGATGTAAGCATTAATCTTATCTAAAAAATACCTATACCACCATGTCCAGACCAGTGTTTGACCAAACAATGAGTCGGCATACTCCACGCAAGCTGACATGCAAAATGACCCACCACAGCGCTTCTCGTGTCTTCGTGTACCCACCTGGTACATATGGGTACAACTGTCTGGCCCATAGGGTGGTCAATCCTGAGTTGATAAATAATAGGAAGCTAGTCCTATGATGTGTCTTGATTTTTCTTTTCTTTTCTTACCTTCCTATTTTTATTAACCCAGGTCTTCTGCACCCAAAACTCAGCCTCATTCAGGACCATATTATGTTCGTACCTCGGCTGTGTCCAAGGAGTGTTGTCGGAAAAGTGGGACCTTGGAGGGGTAGGGGCCAAGGGAGAGTTTCCCCTCTGCCCTTCGAAGTTCACTGAAAATGAATTTACAATAGGCAGATTAATAAGAAGAAAAGGCATACAAATTTATTTAATGTGCATAAGCACAGGGGAATTGCAAGAACATGATGACCCAAACCCAATGAGATCCAGACGCTTATATACCCTTCTTCATCAGGGAAGAGGAGATGGAGGAGAAAACGGCTGTTTTGAGGGTTAGAAAAAATATATATATAAATTTTTTTAGATGGAATCTCGCTCTTTCGCCAGGCTGGAGTGCAGTGGCATGATCTCGGCTCACTGCAACCTCCACCTCCTGGGTTCAAGCAATTCTCCTGCCTCAGTCTCCCGAGTAGCTGGGACTACAGGCATGTGCCACCATGCCCAGCTAATCTTTGTATTTTTAGTAGAGACAGCGTTTCACCATGTTGGCCAGGATGGTCTCGATCTCTTGACCTCATGATCTTCCCACTTCGGCCTCCCAAAGTGCTGGGATTACAGGCGTGAGCCACTGTGCCTGGCCCAGCAAATGATTTTTAAGAGGAATGAATGGGCCCAATGCTCAGACAATGGTTAGGAAATAATTATCTTTGGAGATGGAGTGGGACCTAAAAACGGACAATTTGGGTCAATGCTCCGAAGTATGGGTCATCGGTGTGATGTTTAATTTTCAATCTCTTCCTCTGTGATATGAGTTTTAATCCGCTGGGTAATGAAATTTCAGGGAAGGGATGGAAGGCAATTGTGTTCCTCTTTGGCCATCCGGTTTCTAGGTGAACGAGGGAACTTCAGAGAACAGCCTTGTCCTGTGTTTTGGGAGAGACAAGGGGTTGAGAAACAGGAAGGTAGGAGGGGTAGGGAAGGTCAAGAGACCTTGAGGCTACTTCTTTAGTCCAGCATGTCAAAGCATCATATTGAGGAGTATCATTTTCTGAGCCCCAACAGAGGTTGACACGCCTGGGTTTCAGTCCTGGCTCCCCCATTCATTAGCAAGGAGTTGAATCCCTCCGAGCATGAGTTCTGTCTGTGCAGTGAGGGCATGTGGCGCCCACATGGCGGGATTAGTGAGGCTGAGTGGGTTAAGGCCCAGCACAGTGCCTGCTGTGAAGGAGGCACCCCATCATTTTCATAATGATGATTTTATTGCTCTTTTACACACAATTAAAACTCACTAATTCAGACCTATCAGAGAGGGCAGTCAATGGCTGGAAAGTCCACATTAAAAAATAATTTTAAAATAATGTAGTTTTATTACTTTAAAATATATTACTCGGTCCAGGCTAATAAAGTGTTGCATAGCAAGCCCTTGGGGGACTTGCGTTAATGAACAAATAAGAACAATTTGAGGTTAGTCCATCCATTATTGGCGTGGAACAGGATGTCTCAGAAAGTATTTGCAAATGCCTCAAAACAAGGTATTATCTTCCATAGATTAAGTGTTTCCTTTGCAATCATCATGATGCATTTTCTTCATTCACCAGTTTCTCTCTACCTGGAAAGTGCTCCAGGCAAGTTCAGCACAGGACTGACCAGATTTTAACAGATTCTCACTCAGTGGTGACTGAGCATAAGACATTTCGTTGAGTTGGGTCAAGGCCCTTATTTTATGTTCTTTCCTTTCAGAGAAGCCTGTTTCAGGATGCTCATCTTGGCCTGCACCTCCCAGAGCTGGAACTGTTTCCGTCAAACAGCAAAGAGGCTGTGCTTAGGAGCTTGGGCTCTGAACGCAGACAGAACCGGGTTCCAATCCCAGTCATCCCTAAGATGACCTCCCTCACAGGGTTGCTAGAGGATTAAATTAGGTATACAGCTAAAGTGCCTGAGAGACATGAAATAGTCGTGAACGGCAGTGAAAGAGCAAGCCGTCCTGCAGCAGAGGCACCACCATATCTAGAGGTGAGTCAGAAAGGCACGTACACGGACCTAGTGAACCTCTGAGGCATAAGGAACGCTGAAGTTATTATTCCTGGTGCTGGGCCAGTCCTTGGGTGATGATGAAATTTGCCTCCAGATAGGCTATGATTCCAAGGCAGGAGCCTAGGAATTTACTGTCATTATTATTATTAGCAACAAAAATGACAGTTTATATTTTACAAGAGCTATTCAGCTTCTCTCAAAAGCTCCACTGAGACAGTGTATATTTGAGGAAGGTTGTGCAAGGGCCACGGTATTTGTTCCTCTGGAAATTCCAAGCGTGGACTGGGCTCACTCATCAGAGAACCCCAGAATTAGCTCAGCACCTGCAGAAAGGCCTTTTCTGAGTGAAGGTCTGAGTTAAGCCCTTGATTCTACTCTGCGTCAGGGCAGAAAACCATCAGCGAAGGGGAAGTTCCTGGGAGACCCTGCGAACATGCCATCAGCCACTGTTTATTAAGCACTTAACTCTGGATGGGGGCTGGCAATCTGCGATTGCCTGACTTTATCCTCATTACATTCAGCCCATAATGTCAATGTCAGACCATTGGCCCGCTCACCCCGCTTCATCAGAGGAGGGAGCTGTGTCCCAGAAGGCAGGGGGGACTTGCTCAAAGTCACAGAGCTGGTATAAATAAACACAGCATGCCAGTCTGTTTTTTTTTTTTTTTTTTTTTTAAACACAGGATCTTGCTCTGTCACCCAAGCTGGAGTGCAGTGGTGCAATCTCAGCTCACTGCAGCTCCTGCCTCCCGGGTTCAAGCAATTCTTCTGCCTCAGCCTCCCAAGTAGCTAGGACTACAGGTGTGTGCCACCATGCCCAGCTGAATTTTGTATTTTTAGTAGAGTCGGGATTTCCCTACATTGGCCAGGCTGGTATCAAACTCCTGGCCTCAAGTCATCCACCTGCCTCGGCCTCCCAAAGTGCTGGGATTACAAGTGTGAGCCACTGCGCCCAGCCAAGCATGCCATTCTTTAGAAGATGTTCTCTCCTGGCACATCTCAGTTTCTACAAAGGCCCCCAGCCCCTCTTGGAGACCCCTGGGGCAAAGTTCTCTCACCCTTCTTCACATACCCCTAACAACTCACCTGCCTCTCTCTTAGAGCCCCTCTCCCACCCTTCCTTGAATTCTGGCCATGCTCATGTGTGCCATAGCTCCCCCAGTAAGACAGCCTCTGAGTCTGGTCTGACATTGTCTGTCCTTAAAGAAGGCACTTAACACATATTTGTCAACTGAATTAATAAGAATTTCCCACAGGGCCTTGGAAGCAACTTTGTACCTGTTTGCCTCTGCTGGATGACCCACTCTGAACACAGCTACCTAAAAGTGGAAGGAGGGAGGCCGGGCAAGGTGGCTCACGCCTGTAATCCCAGCACCTTGGGAGACTGAGGCAGGTGGATCGCTTGAGCTCAGGAGTTCGAGACCAGCCTAGGCAACATGGCAAAATTCTGTCTCTACAAAAAAAAATTTAAAACTTAGCCAGGCCTGGTGGCACAGGCCTGTAGTCCCAGCTACTCAGGAGTCTGAGGTGGGAGGATTGCTTGAGCCCAGGAGGTGGAGGTTGCAGTGAACCGAGATCACATCACTGCACTCCAGCCTGAGCAACAGGGCAAGACCCAATCCCCAAAAAAAAAAGAAAGAAAGAAAGAAAAATAGCTGAAAGGAGGGACTGTTTTGAGCTGAGGCAACCCCAAAGACTGGTGACATTCCCTGGGTCTCCCCTGCCAGCCTCGAGTCATACCCCAAGAGAGGCTGGGACATGCCTGTGAAACAGGATGTTGAGCAGCTGAACACGGTTGACTTGAGCCAGCCTAAGTGGGTTTCTGCTCCTTGCAACGAGACGCCTGAACAGAAGTCCCTTCTTCAAGGGAGTGGGCATCAGCTCAGAAAGAGGATCCCATGGGAACTGACTTGGCTGGTGACCAAGGCCCTACCACCAGGGCACCCTGCCCACGTATCCCAAGCAGAGGGGCCAGAACAAGCGGTGTAACTACTGTGCTTGACACCCAGGGCGGGTCTTTTTTTTTCTTTTTTTTTTTTTGAGATGGAGTCTCGCTCTGTCACCCAGGCTGGAGTGCGGTGGCGCGATCTCTGCAAGCTCCGCCTCCTGGTTCACGCCATTCTCCCAGGGCAGGTCTTTTTATAACTCACCAATCTTCCATGCAACAAAATTGTTTTCTGTAAAAAGCAGGAAATGAATAACAATAGTATGGGTGCATTGGCTATGTCCGGTGGCATTTCTTGAGAATTTTCATTAATGACACCTGATTTTAGAGGCACTGTATATTTTTAAATACATCCAGATGTTGTTTCAGTTGCTTCCTCTTTGGTTCTTTTTGCTTTTTGTTGTTGAGCTTCACTTAAATTCGTACCATTTCATGTTGGTACAGGTACTCCACTTCAAATTTCCCGAGAAATTCAGAAGAATTGTGAACAAGTTGCTGGTTTCACAACACTGCAAGATACTGCAAGTTACTACAAGTTCCTACAGGACAACAAGGCACAATTATTTACTTAATTGTGTTTAAATATACCTATCAGTTTGAACTTTGATCCTTTGGTTCCTTTGGTGACATTCTAATACAATAATTTATGTAAATAATTATTCAGGGACCAATGAGAGGATTTAATAAGTGCAAAATGTTAGCAAATGGTACAACATTGATAAATCCATGATCTGGATTTTGTTCTGTCATTTTAAAATAATTAAAAAGTAAGTTTCAATTTTAAAAACATTATTGAATTCAGTAAAAAATTCAAGCATTAACTAAAATATACACTTACGAAACACAAATATTACACCTCACATTTCACACTCTGTTTCATTGTTTTAGATTTTAAACAAAAATAAACTCCGACGGCCACCTAGAATGATCAAGTCAGGCAACTTAAGTCACTTTGTTTCATCTTCACAATCACTGTGCTATCATTGTTCATTTTGAATCTACTTTTTAAATGCAACAATATTTGATGCCAGATACCAGACACAAATTACACCTGAAAAGGATGTCATTTTAGGTTTTGTGTCCCACCTAAAGGGTACAATTCTGTACCCTGACAACATTATTCTAGAAATAAATGCCTATGAGTGAGTCTGTTTCAGGAGCCAACTCTACAACTAGGAGTTCCCCCAAAGTAACTTCCATGTGCAATAAAGTGTTTATTAAATGATAAGTATTAAAATTGTCCTAAGCAGAAAACCAAACACCGCATGTTCTCACTCATAGGTGGGAATTGAACAATGAGAACACTTGGACACAGGGTGGGGAACATCACACACTGGGACCTGTCGTGGGGTAGGGGGATGGGGGAGGGATAGCATTAGGAGATACGCCTAATGTAAATGATGAGTTAATGGGTGCAGCACACCAACATGGCACATGTATACATATGTAACAAACCTGCATGTTGTGCACATGTACCCTAGAACTTGAAGTATAATATAAAAATAAATAAATAAAAATAAATCTAAAAAAAATTAAATTAAATTCAAAAAATAAAATTGTCATAAGGTCAGGAACGGTAGCTTATACCTGTAATCCCAGCACTTCCAGAGATGGACGGGCAAGAATTGCTTGAGCCCAGGAGTTTGAGACCAGCCTGGGCAACATGGTGAAACCTTGCCTCTACTAAAAAAATACAAAAATTAGCCAAGTATGGTGGCATGCACCTGTAGTCCCAGCTACTCGGTAGACTGAGGTAAGAGGATTGCTTAAGCCTGGGAGGTCGAGGCTGCTGTGAGCCATAATGGAGGCCACTGCACTCCAGCTTGGGTGACAGAGTAAGACTCTGTCTCAGAAAAAACAAAAACAAAAACTGTCCTAACATGAAGCTTATATACTTATCATCATCATCAATATCATCAGCACTTACGGAACTCCACAGGACCTCAGCAAGTGTTTACACATTGGGCCAAGGAAAGAATTTTCCTGGAGAAGGATTTTGCCACTGCCACCATCTTGAAATTCTTCATTGTTTTGGAACACAGGGCCATAGATTTTCATTTCTGCACTCAGCTCTGCTCTGAGCCCAGGGCCATAGGGGTTCTTGGAAAGACATGGCAGATGGAAGAAGTGGAAGGCATGTGTGCACAGTAGAGTGCCCTGCATAGAGGATGATTACTCCTGTCCCTACCTTCCTGGCCCAGCTTCCCACCAGCCAGAACCCTGGCAAAACAGGGAGACCTTTGGCAGTCTCTTAGCCCTCTTCCTTACCAATCCTGGTTCCCTCCTCTCCCCTTATGCCAAATACGACTAGAGGTCACCTCACAGCCAGGCGCCCCTCCCAAAGACAGCAACTTCCTTTACCCTGCAACAACCAACCTTCACCCCATCCCCAAAAGGGTCTTTGGCCAGAGGTCTGATCAAGCCCATTGAGGGTACTCACTCTAAGCCACCCCATTGCCTGAGCTGTTTTCCTTTTTTTCAAATGAAGCTTGCTCTTTTCTGAGTCTCTCCAAGGTGGAGTGTGGGAGGGCAGTGTTTTCTGTAGCCTCTGGCTCGTGCCAAGCACCACGCTGGTGCTCTCAGACTCTTCAGTTCTCCTCACCCACACGAGCCCAGTGAGGTAGGCCTTCTTATTCCATCTTGCAGATGAAGAAACGATTACTCAGGGTTGATGAAGCAACACCCAAGATCTCATGGAAGGAAGGAACAGAGATGGAAATAAAATACAAGACTGTGTAAGTCCAACAAATATGTCACATCCATGCCACACCTCTGGGGTCTGATCCAGCCTCTCAACAACCACCATCATCCCTCAACAGGCAGGTGACAGTGGCGAGACAGCCCAGCCCTGCACCAGGCTCGTCCATTGCAGTGCCATTGCTATGCAGAGGACACAAACCCCAGACCTTGACTCCTTCTCACAGACCCTGAACAGCTGAAATCTTCTGGCTTCACTGATACTTCCAGCTGCCTGAGCTTTGGCCCAGACAGTCGCCACAGCAACCACAGGTAGGTCTCTGCAGCTGCAGCTGAATGAGCCAGCAAATATTTATCAAGCGCTGTGCTAGGAATGGTAGGAGATGGAGTGACTTTACTCAATGGTCCAGTTTTAAAACACTTTTAGTAATAAATACCCTAAAAAAAAAGAAGGGGGGAGAACATATTTTAAAACCCTATTGCTTTGTTTCCCATCCTGAAAGCCATGAGGTAGACAAAATAGTATTGCTTTACAAGCACAGACTTTGGAGTCAAAGACTTTTGGGTTTGAATTCTGGCACTGCTGTCACTAGCTACGTGACATTGTGCAAACCACACTCCTCTCAAAGCCTTAGCTTCCCCTTTACAACACGAGAATGCTTACCCCTGCCCACCTCAGAGGGTTCTTTAAAAATGAAATGAGCTAATGTATAACAAAGAGCTTTGTTGACTGTGCAAATGTTAGGTTGTTCTTTCAATAAACATTTATTAAGCATTTACTCTGAGCCAAACCCTGAGTTAGGCATTAGAGCTTCTGAAATGTAAACGACCTGGGTTCATTGGGATTCACCCTTTTTATTTTTTTTCGATGAAATTCACACAACATAAAATTAACCATTTTAAAGTGAACGATTCGGTGGCATTTAATCCATTCACGATGTTGCACAACCAACACCTCTCACAAGTTCTAAAACATTTTTTTCCTCACCCCAAAAGAAAAGCCCGTACCCACTGAACACCAGCCTCTTTTGAAGGTACCTTTTCTCTCGCTCTGCTGTGTCCTTCCCGGGAGTTGGGTTCACGGGCTTGATAATATCCTAATGTCCCTCTCATCGTCTATGACTCCAAGCCAATTCCCACATCCAACCTCAAGCTTCACAAGTCGAAACCCAGGCTTCTCTGCCAGCGCCGGGGGAAACAGAGCCCCTAGCCTGCCATTTTTAATTATACCAGGGCTGGATGAGCAGGTAATCGCTGTGCATTTCAGTAAATTACCTCTCATAAAGGGGCCATCATGTTTGCTCATGTGCCCTTCTTTCCTGGAACCAGCTCCCTGTTTGCCAACATTGTATCTTCCCAGCAGCCTGTGCGTCTGGTGATCGTCCTTTTAGGCAAGCTGGGGGACAGTCAGGTGCAGGGGGAGGGGGTAGTGTTTGCGCAAATATTGGACTTGGCCACACTTGCTGTTCGTATCAGGAACCCAATTGGTGTTATTGATTGACAGATTCGGGGACCAACTGTTTAGAAAGCTGAGCCCCCTCGGATTGGGCTAGGTGTTTCGGCAAACAGCCCTAATGCTGGGCAAACAGGGCTGTTGGAAGAAGTGCCCAGCATGTTAGCAGAGCAAACCAAGCACTGAGCAAACAGCTTAAAAGAATGTGGCCACCTCCACGTAACCTCAACCGAGGTATTGATCCCACTGGAGGAGAGAGAGGGGCCGAGTAGGGAACAGAGAGATACAAACCCCGGCAGAATGTAAATGTTATCTTTAAGCTGCGGCTGTCAGGGCCCTAATGGGCATCTGTTTGGAATTTGTCTTCTTGCAAATCTTTAAATCCAGGTCAGGGCCAGGCACAGAATTTAATAACAACTTTTCAGAGAGATCGGGGCTTGCGACTGATTTCATTCCCCATAAGCCCAACTGGGACTCTTCTGTTCTTCTTAAAGGCAGCTGCCTTGCATGGAAACTTGCTGGGTGCAAGTCCCAAGCTAGGAAGAGATAAATCTTCTGAACACTGGTCATAAGGCTACAGGAGAGAATAAGAAAATTCAGAAATAAAGGTGCTTACTCTGACCCCTGAGTTGTCCATACATGAGAGCCGGTGGAGTGGAAAGAATCCTGGAATCAGAGCCAAGAAATCTGGGCTGCAGCTACTGGCTCTGACTGGCTGCCCCTTCTGTCTTTACCTCCCTGACCTTCAACCTCTGTATCTATGAACTGAGGGATGCAGTCCCTGCTGGGCATATTCAGGGTCAAGCCAGACAAGCCCACTCCAAGGTGGGAGCACACTCTGCAGACAGAAAACACTGTCCCAGTTTAAGGAATCGGGATTTTTGCTGAGAGGCCCTCGGCGGTGCCCCTCCTGAGCCTGAGACCTTCTGGCATCACCAAGTTGCAATGGAATGGACCGTGACTGTGGTTATCTATTTTTCTAGGTAGGTGACTGTTAGAATTTGGGTGTCCTTCCCCAAAAGCTAGATGGGTGAAGGGAATATATGTTGTTTGCAAATTCCTTGAAAAGTCAAAAAACCATGATTGCTTACTTGCTGTTATTTTGAGAGAAGGTCTCACTCTGTTACCCAGTCTGATGGAATCTTGCTCTGTCACCCAGGCTGGAGTGCAGTGGCATGATCATAACTCACTGCAGCTTCAAGCTCCTGGGTTTAAGTGATCCTCCTGCCTCAGTCTCTCAAGTAGCTGGGACTGCAGGTGTGCCCTGCCACACTCGACTAATTATTATTATTATTATTATTATTATTATTATTATTATTGTAGAGACAGGGTCTCACCATGTTGTCCAGGCTGATCTCGAATTCCTGGCCACAAGTGATCCCCCCACCTCGGCCTCCCATAAACGATGGGATTATAGCTTGAGCCACCATACCCAGTTGCTTGCCTTTTAATATTTTTGTAAAATAATAGGGTTAAGAAAAGACTTGCCCGCTGGGTCCCAAATGAGACCAGAGGACTGTGATTGAATGTCACCTCTGGTCCACAATTTCTTGCCAAGAAAAAACCCACAGCACTCCTATCTTCAACTAGAGGCCATAGCAGTGTGGGTAATGCCAGGATATTACTGGGCACTGCATTTTACAAGAGAACAGAGGGAACTTAAAACCTTTTGGCCATCTCTGCCTCTCGGTATCTGGTCTCATGATGATAAGAAGAATCAGAGAAGGCTATGACTCAGAGAAGGAGCCATCTATTTTGATGGATCTTTAAACAGGGGCTTAACAGGGAACAGCCACAGCTTAAAGATTACATTTGTGGAAGCATACAGGCAAAGTTGTCAAGAGCTCGGGCTTCAGAGCTCGGTGCCTGGGGTAGAATCCCAACTCTGCCACTCACAGTGTATTAGGCAAGTTACCTAACTTCTCTGAACTTCAACAACACTTCTCCTTGTGAAATGAAAATAGTACCCCTGGAGGGACTGCCCCTCAGTGCAGCACCTCACCTATGATAAGCCCTCAGTAAATAATAGGGACTTTTATGGTTATTTCTGTGATGTGGGCAGGACAGACCCTAGACCCTAGTGAGAAGGAGCTGTCATTGCCAATATGTGACTGCAGAGGATGCCTTGCTCCCAATGAGGAAATCCACCAGCCTTCCCTAGAAAACCTACCATCAGAGCCTTCGTCAGCACCGAAATTTTACCATACAAGTGGGGGAGACGCGCACTTGGTTTCAAGTGTGTGGCCTGTGAGAGCCGCTCAGATGGGCTTCCTCATCAGAGGGACCTCTTTAAGGCTTCCTCCTCTTGCATCAACCAGCAGCCCTGCCCTCAGCTCGAAGAGAAGTCTGTGGGGTTTGAAGACAAAGTTATCCAGCATAGAGATGAGCTGATCTACTACCTTCTGCTTATAGATGGAGCAGTGGACACCCAGTGTAAGGAAAGGACTTGCCCAAGGTCACAGAGGAGGTCAGCGGTGGCACAGGTTTTTTTGTGGCAATAAGAAAATGGGCTGATAAGGCTGGGTCTTTGAAGGCAAAACCACTGACAGGTTATCAGGAAGAAGTTTAAGCTTGCCTTAGAAGTGGAGCAGATGGGGAACCCAATTCATCTCCAGCAAATAGTTATGAATTAGGGTTTCTCTATAGCAATTAAAAACAAATAAGTAAATTGTACCTGCATTGGCATGCTTCCTCTCAACCTACTGATATACCTACCCTCACTGGAAACGTCTATCTCAACTAAGGTTGTTTCAGAACCTTTTGCTTTGGGAACAAGGGCATACAAACACTGGGATAATTTATGATGGTAATTTATGATGTGTTAAGTAGAGATAACTATATTTCTCCAATCTGCGTGGCCTAACATCTGGTTAAGTAAGGAAAATGGGCCTGGAAGATATGGTATTGATGATCCCCCTCTAAGGAGAAGTCTTAGCCAGGGTTGGGTACATTTGGTGAGCGTTGAGCCACGGCCAACCTGCTTCCGGGCCCAGGGCACTCCCATCCCTGCCCTGACGTGTGGTCCCACAGAGCTCAGGCAGAGGCCACAAGGTTCCCAGCCCCCATCAGACCCCAGCTTTGCCCCACTCCTGCTCTCTTCCTGGCTCCATGGGACAGTAGCATGCAAACTATGAACCAAGAAAAAGTGAAAAGCAAAAAGGGGAAACCTTGTTAAAACCACTACTGGTTTTTTGTTTTTTTGTTTTTTGTTTTTTTGAGACGGAGTCTCACTCTGTCGCCCAGGCTGGAGTACAGTGGCGCGATCTCGGCTCACTGCAAGCTCTGCCTCCCGGGTTCACGCCATTCTCCTGCCTCAGCCTCCTGAGTAGCTGGGACTACAGGTGCCCACCACCACGCCCGGCTAATTTTTTGTAATTTTAGTAGAGACGGGGTTTCACCGTGTTAGCCAGGATGGTCTCCATCTCCTGACCTCGTGATCCACCCACATCAGCCTCCCAGAGTGCTGGGATTACAGGTGTGAGCCACCACGCACAGCCAACCACTGCTATTTTTAAGGGTCAAGGAAGGATGACTTGACCTGCCCTGGAGGCAAGAAAACAGGTCACATGCACACCACACCCCTTTCTCCAATTGGCCTAGGGTTACAGACTCACTTCTGTTAGACAAAGACCTCCTTTCCAGAAGAGAATATGCTGGGCCACTCTGCAGATGTGGAGGAGTTTGGAGTAAGAGTAGGTGCCCCAGACATTGGACCAAGCATTCCACAGGTAGAAGGCTTGGAAGCTGGAAGCCCAGTGAGCATGGTTAAAGGTTAAAGGGATCAGGGAGCCTCAGCTCTGGAGTGGACTAAGATGCAGGTAGTAACAGCTTAGAGTGGGTCTCTAATCCCATCTAATCCACTCTGGACTCGAGGATCCCAGAAATCCCTTACCAAGCACTTTCTTTGTCTCACCTGCAGTGACTACCTCCCTTTCCCTTGGAAAGCCTAAGTTACCAGGCAGTGAAAGAACTGACCCCTGACTGTGCTGCTGTAAAAGCTCCCATGCCACACTGCTGCTTCTGAACATGCAGGCCCTTAGCAGTGCCCCGTTTCTCACTCCAGAGCTCCACTCACAGTTACCAACTGTTTACAGGAAAGACAATGAGACTAAGTCCCCTGAGAGAAGGGGTTCATTATTACAAGTCAGGAAAACAGAGAGTTACAGTATGCTGACCCCCTCTACCTGGATACACAGTAACTAGTGTTGTTTTTGAAAACACCCAGGTTAGAGCCAGGTTTACATTTGACAAGCGTCAGTTAATTACAACAATAATATGAACCACACAACAGCATCAGCATGGCTGATGAATCATTGAAAAGGCTGAGTGACTCTTAGAATGCCCAATTAATGATTCACCCTATAAAAATGCATCTCCACACTGGTGCCCAGATCTGGCTCATTATGTTAAAATCTCTTACGCCACTTTGCCTTCCATACAGACTCTAAATATCTTCAGAACTTTGAACTTTGAAATAAATAAACATGAATACGCACTAACCAGGACTGGCTTCATGGGCACGCAACCTGTACAGCTAGTTATTCAGGGCCGGAGCTCCGAAGGGCACCACCCCCCGCTTGGATGAATGCTCTCTTGAAATTCTGAATAATTCTGGAACAGGGAGCCCCAGCATTTCCATGTTGCACAGGGACCTGAAAATGATGTTTCCAGTCTTAGGCTAAACTCTTAAAGAAGAAAGCAACAGAAAGTGAGACACAGGAATCCATACATCAAGCCACTTTTGCCCTCATCTGAAGCAAAATGCCCCACTCTTTTAAAATTCTGAAAAAGAGAAAGGTGCGGATTTTTTTTTTTTTTTTCTGGAGGAGGTGTTTCATTACATTAGAAATCCCTTATGAGTAGGTCTGGCCCTGTCCTCTAAGCTAACCCCTCTCCTCCCTGACCACCCTCTGCAGTAAAACTCCTCTCTGACCTGCCATGTCTGCAACCTGAGGTTGAGGTTGAGGAATAATTTCAGCTGCCCTGAGATAACAGAGAAGTCAGAGTCCTTGCTGTTTCCTTCTCCATAAAATGAAAGAGCATTGCGGGGGCAGGGGAAGGCAGAAGGGACTAAGTCAGCCTTTCCCAGCCCTTTCTGAGATGTTCAAAAATGTTCGCCCAGAGAGGGTCTCTATAGCAAAAAAAAAAAAAAAAAATTGAAAACTCTGGGTCAAATAAAGTTAACTTTCTGAACTGGAGGACTTTCTCAGAACCTTTAAAGAGTGGTAGAGTTAATGGGAATGGTGTGACTCTCCAAGCCTGGGTTGACAGCACTTTCCAAGCTCATTCTACCATAATTGATGGTACAACCCATCCACCCTGGGGAGTATTTACCATCAGGCTGAGGAATCTTGGACTTCAGAGCCTCTCCCCTCCCCTGGTCGTTGCAGAGCTCTGGAAGTACCCCTACAGAGTGTTCGCCTGGTCATGTGCTTGGCTAAAATTTGCAGAAGTAAGATATTGCTGTACCCATTTTCTTTTCTTTTCTTTTTTGAGAGGGAGTCTCACTCTGTTGCTCAGACTGGAGTGCAGTGGTACAATCTCAGTTCACTGCAACCTCCGCCTCCCGGGTTCAAGTGCTGTATCCATTTTCTTAAAGAAAGGTCCTAAGATTGTGTGAGCTTTGGGCCTCACAAAATGCACATCCTCCTCTGCATCCATCTTCACATCTGGAGGCACCATCCTTACGTCATGCCTAACATCTTAACATGCGCCCACATCCCCCATTTAATCTAATTTATAAATAACTGTAGGAGTTGAGTTGGAGCTGGCATAATGTCATTTGCTTAGTAGACTCATAATTAAACATTCTTTCATATTGGTTTTGCTCAGTTGCAAGGAATGTTAATTTTGGAGGCAAAACTTTTTAAATTTCCATGTCACGATCATTTTCTTAGGCCCTGGGAAAGCATGTGAGCCCTGAGGACCAGGCCTACAGTGTGGGATGGATAAAATAGGGCTGCACTCAGCCAGCCTCCACAGTTCGAGAAATTCCATACTCATAGTGCGATACTGATTATTTTCATGGTCGTTTCCAATTCAGTGGAAATGCCAATTTAATATCTAATTCAGACTAAAGAGAGATTGGAGTGGTTGGGGGAGTCGAGTTTGGATTGCAGAAATTGAGCTTTTATTATTTTCGAGAAACAGCAGGTTTCCTTGAACTAGGTTAACAAGGTGTTATCTAACAAGACCTTAGGGGGCTGATTTAACGGTTAGGACAAGATTGTTGTGTAATTAGCTTATCAACTCTGTATATGTAAATGAAGGCTTTTAAAGTCCTAGGAAAACTGGCTCTTGCTCTTAAGTAATTTAACTGTTTCCCCTTGATGCTCTTCATTCTCTCCAGCTCGGACACTTCTTTCCTCAATTAAGCATTTATAGAAGTCCATCTTGTGCGCAGCACTGTGCCTAGGGATTGAAATATGAGTAAGACCAGTCCCTCCTCTCCGCCAGCCCATGATCTAATCAGAGGTCAACAAACCTTTTCTGTAAAGGACCAGATGGTAAATACTTCAGTTTTGCAGGCCATCTCTGGTGCAATAATAACCCGACTCGGACTTTCAAGCACAAATTCAGCCACGGACAACGTATCAACAAATAAGTGTGGTCATGTTCCAATAAAACTTTATTTACAAAAGCTACTTGGGCCATGGTTTGCAGACCCCCTGGTCTAATGAGAGAAACAAAAATATAAATAATTCACTATGCAAAGATAGAAACTTAATTCTGTGCAATAATGGAAGCCCTAGCCAAATGCTGTGGATTCACAGGGAAGAAAGAAGTAATTGATTTCCAGGAGAGGCCAGAAGCTTCCTGGAAGAGGTAGCGAAGCATATGGAGCCATTCCCTCTTGGTTCAAGCCTTTATGGTCCCCCAGTTGCTTTGTTCTTATCCATTTTTCCTCCCCATTGAGGCCAAGGGCTTCTGTGACCTGGCATCATTTTGTATCATTCCTGGGGCCTAGCTAAGCTGTGCGCACATGTCCTGCCTGCAAAATCACAGCTTCTGAGTCAGCATCCAGTCAAATAAGGTTGATGCTGTTAGAGCAAAACTCTGATTGGGCTCTCACCCAGGCTTCAGATAAACACTTCTTGTTTGGAAAACCATGGTGCCTTTGAGGGGAATTAGACAATGTAATCTCCTCCTGCACGCAACCTCTGCTCTAACTCCTTTATTGTTCTTCCAGACACTTTCTCTTTGCATTTTCAATATCCAAATGCCATTTAGTTTATTGAGGCTTGTTTGCTCAGGGCTGGGCAAATAAAAGAACAAAGGAGGCTCTCAGCATCACCCCAGCCTTTGCTATCACGGGCTCTCAAGGTGAGCTTAGCAGCCTTCAGCACCAATCCCCTTAACAGGCTGTGGGCCAAGGTCGCTGGAGATGTAAGATGCAGGGCTATAAAGATGGGATAGGAGACAAGGCACTTTCTAAAAGGACTCCCGATAGCATATCTCCAACTCCACCAGGAACTAGGAAAAGGATGACACCCTGGCAATAACAGCAGGTAAATGAATTACTCACCCAGTAAAACTGATGGAGCTGATAACAGCAAGACCCAGAGGTTGCTGGGTCAGAGGTTGCATCAGGAGATGGCTTCGGAGATTTAGGCTGTCCATCACCTTCATCAGCCTTTCTCCAAGACCTCTCCAAGTCCATATCCAATCTACCTAGGAGCACAGTGCGCTCGCTGTGCCACCCAGGCAGGGGCCACCCCTAAGCTCCTTCTCTAGAAACACTCTGCAGCCCCCGCTGCCCACTTGTTCCTGGACTTCACCAGTGGGGGACAATGCTTGTGAGTCCCCCAATATTTGTATGACCCTTGGGGAAGCTAGAGGAGGACAAATCAGAGAATGCTGGATCCAAAATATGACTTTTCTCAGGATATCAAATCCAGTTAGCACCAGCAAGCACCTTGCCCCCCCCTTTGAACTCTGCAGGCTGCTTTCTGACCTGTAGGATGAACCTGCCACTCAGCCTACCTGCGGCTTATAGCTCCTAGGAGTACAACTTCCAGCCACTGCTTCTGGCGTGAAAGCTCTCAGCTCAAGCAAGGGAGGCAGAGTTCACACAGGGAGGTTAGGAATCTGGTTCACTGACCTATATGAATTGCCACCAATAAAGAGCCTTTCTCTTAAAATGAGGAAGAGAAGGAAGAAGAAAAGGCAGCGTAAAGGCAGAATCGATTCATATCCAGCCTCTGGGACTCTTTTGAGTCAATGGTCCCAGAACTGTAAAGTCTGCCTGTAAAATCTGTATTGCAAACAAACGCTTCCAGAAAAAGGTTGGGTGAAAAATCCCTCAGTCTTTTTCATCTTGGTGGGAAGGCCCAGGTGGTCAGATGACTGGGGGTGTAGAATAATGAGGATAGAGGGGCCCTGTCTAGGGCTCTCCCAGGTAAAGTCAGTTCCTCATCACTGGCTTCTCATCAAGGATGGTGTAAAAGCCAACAGCGGCGTCTACTTCATCCCCTCAAACAGACCCTTCCAAACCCAGGACTAAAGCTACAGAAGGAAGGAGGGAGGGGAGATGGCTTTGCTCCTGGCTCAGCTTCCATTGGCTGAGCTTCTACTGTGTGCCAGGTGTGCATTATGTCCTTTAGTCCTCTCGCACTCCTAAGTGACGTGTGATGATCTTGTTTTACAGATAAGGACACTCACAACATTTTCCCTAGGCCCTCCTGCAAGAAAGTGGCCAGGCTGGCAGTCAGCACAGGCCTGGCCTCAAACCCACACTCCTGCCACCAATATACTTCTGCAGAAAGAGAAGGAAGGTGTGTTTAATGTAAGTGTTAAATGTGTGACAGGAGATGGATGAGCCTGTGGGGGCTAAATTGACTTGCTAGGGGTTAGGAGAATGGCATCCTGACTCGTTCCTCCTTTCTGATCCCCACTTACCCATGCATACTCTTGGTTGGCCCAGGGGATGCTAGCCTCAGCCCTTGGGATCCACTCCCACTTCATGAGAAACCAAAACCAAATGTGGGGTCCTGCCTTGGCAAAGGTGAGTGACAGGCAGAGCTGGGATGCTCTGTGCCCATGGGCCCTCAATGCTCTGCACCTCCTCTCCACCACATGGGTCCTTTGATTCATTTCTACCCCTGCATCCCTCACAGGGACCTTCTTGGATCAAGTCACTGTGCCTGCTAGCCTCTCCAGTCTCCTCCTCTCTCCCGGGGCCTCTGAGACTCTGGGTCCTAAGCTGGAAGCTTCTCATAGTCCCACAAGGCTCACAGCCAGGCCAGCCCACAGTTCTGCCTCAGCTAGGGTGGGACGTGTGTGCTGTGGCTGGAGAAGACATCTGACTCTGCAATCACTCCTCAGTCTTATTGTTTGACTACCATGCCTCCCAAAAGAATAGCAAGTGTATATCCAGTCCTCTTCCTGAGACAGAACAGAGGGGCAAGAGGGTTTATGGTTAGGCACTTGGAACCATAAACGTTTCCCCTTCAGAAAAAGTGGCAGGAAATGGGAGGGAGCTCATTTGTGGATGGAGATCATAACTGGATGTGGTCAGAGGGACCCCAAGAACCCAGTCTGTTCGCATGGCTGCGTGGTCATTCTCCTTCACAGCCTCTCTACATATTGTCCCTGATCTATCTCCACCAGTGCTTCCCTACTTGCCTTCTCTTCTCAAGGCCTGAGAGCCACTTCCTACTTCTTTATGATTTCTGTGGTCTCCCAGCTTCAGCCTGCAAAAGGCCAACTGTAGCCTTGCCTCTACCCACAGATATCATTTCAGAATCTGTCTCTGACTCCACCTGCCTTATTATCTCTGGTTTTCTTAATTCAAATTCCCAAGAGCCTGAATCTGCTTGGCCCATCTTCTCACACCAAGCCACACACTAAGTTACTGGTCACTCTGTAGATTGATGCTGCTGGGTCAGGTTCCCAGCTCTGCTGGGGTCAGTCGGGTCTGAGGCAGATACAGTCACAAGGCTGCAATGGCCCAATGGCTTTTTCTTGCCCATGGCACAAGATACAGCCAATTTACTGAGACAGCGTTATTGCAACAGGGAAAGAATTTAATAAACACAGGGCCAGCTAAACAGGAGACTGGAGTTTTATTACTTAGATCAGTCTCCCTGAAAAATTCAGAAACAAGGGTTTTTTAAGGATAATTTGGGAGGCAGAGAGCCAAGAAGTATGGAACAACGATTGGTTGGGTTGGGAGAAAATCATAGGGGGTTGAAGCAAGTTCTTCCCCCTGCCTTCAGTTCCTGAGTGGGATCACAGAACCAGTTGAGCCAGTTTACCCATCTGGGTGGTGCCAGCTGGTTCATTAGAATGCAGGGTTGAAAAATATCTAGAACACCGATCTTGGGTTTTACAGTAGTGACGTTATCCACAGGAGCAAGTGGGAAGGTTAGGAATCTTGTGGCCTCTGGCTGCATGACTTCTGAGCTGTAATTTCTAACCTTGCGGCTCATTTGTTAGTTTTACAAAGGCGATCTGGTTCCCACGCAAGGAGGAGGTTTATTTCAGGAAGAGGCTGTTACCGTCTTTGTTTCAAAGTTAAACTACAAACTAAATTCCTTCTATATTTCACCCAGCCTATGCCCAGGAATGAACAAGGGCAGCTTGGAGGTTAAAAGCAAGATGGTGTTGGTTAAGTCAGATTTCTTTCACTGTCATAATTTTCCCATGTCAGATTTTTCTCACTGTCGTAATGCTTGCAAAGATGGTTTCAAGGCTGACTGGGGACAGGGGCTGAGAGTTGGCCTTTCCGCTTATAAGGGTCTAACAGACTTTCTGAGTTGCTGCTCACCTGATGGAAAACCTCCACTCCATCCCCTCTTAGGTGTGGGATCTTGGACAAATCACTAAAGTTCCCTTAGCTGCAGTTTTCTCATCTGTAAATGAGGAAATGTCTATAAGCAGCTCTCTAGCTTTGATTTCAGAGTTGTGAGATGCAAATAAGCACCCAGCACAGCACCTGACTGAAGAGGAGTCCCTCTCTCTCATCCAACTGCAGGCAGGGTGGGCTGCATTCTTCAGAGAAATTTCCCTGCCGACTGCCCTCCTACTTCCTCGCCACCTTCCCAGAGGTTACCCGCCCACCCTTCATGCTCTGGCTCCAGGATATCCCTTCCAGGAAGCCCACCCCAGTCACCCTTGCTGTCCGCAACCCCCTCTCAGAACCCTACACTACTTTCAGGCAGGATCACACAATGTCAAGTTTAATAATACCCTGTCCAATCCCACAGGCTCATTTCTCCACATGAGTTTATTCTCTCTCCAGAGTGTGAGCTCCCTGGCTGGAAACCATGCCTTTGCATTTAACCCCCTAAGGGCATCAAACAAGGCTATACAAACAGCGAGTGCCCCCAAAATACTTGCTGATATACATTCCAAGGACATAAAAAGGGCCTAAGCCCAGCTTCCTTCTCTTTTAAAAGAAGGCAGGACAATGATAATAACCACTACCTGTAAGGCAGTGTGTATTTGGTAAAGACTTGCTACATTCATTGTCTTGATAAATCAGCAACCCAAAGAGGAGAGTGGAATTCATCCCACAATGCAAGTGTGAATACTGAGAACCAGTGAGAGTCCGTGATGTGCCTGAGAGCACAGCTAGTAAGTGGCAGAGTTGTGATTTGAACCCAAGTCTTGCGACACCAAGCCCATTATTATTATTTATTTATTTATTGTCATATGGGGCTGTGAGCTTTAAAAGCCAAGAGAGAGAGGGTTCAAGAGGTGGCCAGTAGTTTTGCTATAGAGAAAACTGCAGCCATTGGGAAATAAGCAAATAGTTTACACCTAGATGCAGAGAACACAGAGAAGGCAAATTGCCACTGGCTTCAAAGAGGCAATGGAACTTGGACATGTGGAAAGAAAGAGAGGCACAGGAGGAAGCCGAAGGCATCTGTGGGTGCAAGTGCATGGCTAGAGCTAGCTCAAGAGGAGTGTTGAGTAGAACACAGAGCCCAAAGGGAGCAATGTAGTGGCAAGCTACAAGGGAGCCCAGGACCCCACGCTGGGGATGGTGACGAGAGTGTTCTCAGGAGGAGAGGGACAGTGAGAGATTCTTGTGAGTGATCACTCCACAGGACGCAGTGAGGGGCTGGCTGGGTCTGGAGCAAGTTAAAATAAGCCAAGGTCATTCCAAGCCCACAGCCAGAGCCATTGCTAAAATGTAGTTCTCATTAACCAATATGGGAGTGGCAAAAATTGCCACTGATTTTCACTGGGAAGGAAACAGGCAGTATCACACGATGTCAAATTTAATAAGATCCTGTCGCCATGCCCTATCTCATTACTCTGCACATGTTCATTATCTCCCCAGATCGGTGTTAGCTGGCTTTTGGAAATGATGTTTTCTCTTTTATCCCCCACAGCTCCTTATGCAGGGCTGAGCACATAGAAGGAGCCCAGCAAATAGCAGTGGATATAAATTTCAAGAGTATAAAATGGTCCTAAACCCCAGGGTCAGTGGAGGAACATTTCAGAGAAATTAGATATCAACTCAATCTCTTCCTAAAAGCACTTTGCAGTAGCAGCCAGCGGCATCCAACAACACCCAGCAATGAAACTGTGCCCCTCGAGGTAGAGAGTACCCCATCACTTGAGGTATCCAAGCAGAAACTAGACAACCATCAGAGGCTCTGTGGAAGGAATCCCTGCATTGGGAGGGAGACCAGACCGAACAGCTCCTACAGCCCCCTCCATCTCTCAGACGCTATGGTTCAAAAATGCAGTGGATTTGGTCTCCAGTTTCATTGGCATGCCCCATTCAGAAATAGCCAGACTGACTTAAAAAAAGAAATCTTGGTGCCTCTTTCTGTTTCTTTCAAACCCTTTAAATGTCAAGTTCCAGACCACTGCTTTGCCTTGCCGGGTGGTTGGATACCAAGCCCATGAGCACTGGATTTAGAATAGCACGCCTGGCGTGGCCGGAGGAGGAGTCTGACTTCATGCATTCCTAATGCACGTCTATTTTTACAGCCATGAGACACGTCGCCTTCCCTCGCTGTTCACATCAATATCACACAGGGACGCTGACACAGGGCCATCTGTCCCCGCAGACGCGTTCTTTTGGGAGGGGAGGCAGAGGGAACGGGAGGGGGATAGATATGCATTTTTGTTCTAAGTCTGAAAATTGATTTGGGATGTGATAGATCCCAGGCTTGAGCTGGCCAGAAACGTCTTTTGCCAAACCCTGTTGGGTATAGTGTCTTATTTTTTCATCTCCTTCTGAAGTTTAGCACTGTCGGCCATCCACCCAAGTAATCATTCACTCACTCACTCATGCACGCACTTGCCTGTGGCGTGCCAGCTCTGGGCCACGCTCCCTTTTGCCATGTTTGACTTTTCCAGAGGCCATGCCTGCAACGCAACAGGGTGTAGAGTTAGGAAGGAGCATGACCCGGAGGGTAAACAGATGAGGCAAGTCTTTGCTGAGCACCTGTGGTACGTCCAGGGCTGTGCCCAGTCTGCAAGTCCAACCAGGGGCTTTTCCTTAAAACAACCGTCCGTGTGTAAGACAAGAGATGAGTCCAGACTCAATGAGTCCAGCCAGAGAAGAAAGGGCTTCTTGCGTGCTGGAACAAAAACAAAGTGGTCTCAAGAGAAATGAGAGGTCTGGGTTTGTGTGGCTGTGGACCCCAGAACCTGGCCCAAGCTGGCTCCTCTGGGAGAGCCCCACACTCTGGGAAAGGAGCCCTCAGAATGCATCTACACAAAAGAGCCCCACTGGGAGCTCAGCCCTTGACTATGGATTCAGGTTTCCAAAGGTTCTGGGGCCCACCAAAGACTCCCTCCTCTGGTAATGCAGCCACTTTTCCTTTGACATGGCTCCCCCAATTCTGGTGGTCCTGAGGGACCTGTCAATCATGCAACCCTACCTTCCATTGGTAAAGGTCCAGTGCCAGGTCCAACCAGAGTACTCTCTGAAGGAAACTACAATGATTAATTCAGGGAGGCATGGGTGATCCTGGTGAGGCAGTAAGAGGCTGCCCTGGGACTTTTCTGCCAGAGGTAACAGGGAAAAATAACCTCAATTGTTATTGCTAAATTGAGAGAATATGAGTCTGAAACCACCAGTTACCAGCTTGCCTCCTCCACAGAAAAGACTTGTATGAAGGATAAAGCCAACGGGAGACCACAAAAGCCAAGAGGAGAAAGATAGAATCTGATGACTTCACCTGACTCCTGGTTCCACAATGTGAAACCAGCCCGTGAATTAGCTATTGGTGAGAGCCAAAAAATCCTTTCCGCCCTCTCTTTCAAACAAATTTGCCTTGAACAGTTTACCCACCAATTGGCACTTAGAACTTCTTGGCCAGGTGGGGCATTAAGAGTGGGATCTCGAGCTGGGCGTGGTGGCTCACGCCTGTAATCCCAGCACTTTGGAAGGCAGAGGCAGGCGGATCACGAGGTCAGGAGATCAAGACCATCCTGGCTAACACAGTGAAACCCTGTCTCTACTAATAATACAAAAATAAAATTAGCCAGGCGTGGTTGTGGGCACCTGTAGTCCCAGCTACTAGGGAGGCTGAGGCAGGAGAATGGCATGAACCCAGAAGGTGGAGTTTGCAGTGAGCTGAGATCGCGCCACTGCACTCCAGCCTGGGCGATAGAGCAAGACTCCGTCTAAAAAAAAAAAAAAAAAGTGGGATCTCGGCATTACTTGTGTTCACCCTCCGAGAATCTCCAAATCCTACACTAGAATGTGTACTGGTGCAGAGGGCAGCCACCAGGGTCCCTGTTCCACCCATTCCAGACCTGATCAGAGATGTCACCCTCCAGGGCCAGCAGCCACAGGCGACGGGGCATCTTTGTGAGCACCCACCCTAGACTCCAGCTGTCCCTGACGTGGCAGGTCCCATTGGTGCTGCAGCTTCCAGACCAGTGAAGCATCCTCTGGCCTCAGGCAGCTGCCACTTTGTTTCAGCTCTGGGAACAGACTAAACTGACCCTGTGTGAAGCTAGGAAATGCCTGGACATTTGGGAGAAGGGGGTCTGAGACAGAGACGAGGCTCCTAGGAAATCTGAGTATATGTGAAGCTGGGAAATGCCTAGACATTTGGGAGAAGGGAGTCTGAGAGAGAGACAAGGCTCCTAGGAAATCTGAGCATGTAGGGGCTTAAACCCTGCTCTTTCGACCATTGCTAGAAAAGGCATTATTTACACTCAGACCATGAAGCTGGTTGCCCCAGGTCTGCTGAACCACAGGAAGAAATCCAGTTTCCAGGGTAATAGGGGCACAGAGCTGACACTCAGTGAATCATTCCCCACCCTAATATAAAAGGCAAATCTAGGGGAGGAAGTTCGCCTGAAAGCCACCAGGACTCCCACAGATAAAGACAAGACAAGATGGTCTTGCTCTGGAGAAGCCCATGGCCCCAGTTAGAAGACTCTTTTCTAAAGAAAGTCATACATAGTGTGGTCTGAAGCCCATCTTTTCATTAAATTTATTTTATTGTGGCAAAATATATGTAACATAAAATTTGCCACTTTAACCATTTTAAGTGTACAATTCGTTGGCAGTAAGTACATTCACAATGCTGTGCAAGCATCACCACTATCTATTTCCAGAATGTTTCCGTCATCCCATGCTGAAACTCTGTACCTATGAAGTAATCATCCCCCATTCCCTCCTAGCCCACCAGCCCCTAGTAGCCTGATTCCACTTTTTGTCTCTGCGAGTTTTTCAATCTGGGCACTTCATATAAGTGGAATCATTCAATATTTCTCCTTTTATGCCCAGCTTATGTCACTTAGCATAATGCTTTCAAGGTTCATCCATGTTGCAGCATGTCAGGATTTCATTTATTTTATTTTTTATTTTTGTGGGTACGGAGTAGGTATATATATTTACTGGGTACATGAGATATTTTGACACAGGCATACAACGGATAATAATCACATCAGGGTAAATGGGGTATCCATTACCTCAAGCCTTTCTCCTTTCTTTGTGTTACAAACAATCCAATTATATTTTGGGTTTTTTTTTTTTTATTTTTTCTTCTTTGATATTTTCTTTTCTCAGCATTTGAAAGGAATCCTTTATTTTTAAATGTACAATTAATTATAGTTAACTGTAGTCACCATGTTGTGCTATCAAACACTATTTATCTTATTCATGCCTTTTTGTGATTGCATAATATTCCCTTGTATAGATAGACAATATTTTGTTTATCCACTCATCCACCGATGGACACTCGGGCTGTTTCCACCTTTGGCTATTGTGAATGATGCTGCTATGAACATTAATGTAAAGTATTTATTTGAGGGGTCACAGGATGATTCTATGTTCAATGAGGAAGTGCTGAGGAACATGTGAGGCACATGGATGGAAGGATGCGGGGAGGGCACAGGAGGACGGGAGAAAGAACAGAAACTTGAGGTTCAGAGGAACCAGTCAGAGTCCCCACCTGGTCCCTTACTGTGGCTTTGGATCTGCGACTTGACCTTCTGTGTCTGTTCATGAACAGAGTGGAGATAATCCCTCCATCTCCTAGGGGTGAGGTGAGGATAACACGTGTGACAAGGTGGAGGAAGATCAGCGCCTTCACAGCTGGCACAGAACCCCTCTTAGGGGAAGATCTGCCTTGGTTTGATGTCTGAGCAAATGCTTCTAACAGAAGCAGGTGTGTCACATATAGTTGTGTGGGTTACTTTCTGGACTGGACAAGGACACCAGTTCAAGAGGGAAACGAGGGGCTGAAAGCTAGGCTGCTCTACACTCACCCAGCCATGTGACCTGGCACAAGGCTGAGCTGTCCCTCACCAACTCCCACACAGCAGTGAATATCGAGTTTCTCAGTTCAAATACGACCCCCTGGCTCCCCAGTATTCTATAGCTCCACACTGCCCTAGGATAAAGTTCGAAATTTTCTGTGTGTCTTACAAGGCCTGCAGATCCAACCCCTCCCTGCCTTTATAGCTCCCACTCAAGCCACCTACTCCTTGAATCCACTTCTCCCACTCTCCTGAATTTCTTGAAATCCTCTCTCTTCTCGTTTCACTTTTCAGATGTGGAAACTGAAGTTTTACCAAGGTAAATGCCTCGCTCAAGGTCACACTGCTGGCAAAAAGCACAGCCAGGTTAGAATCTAGATTCAGTAAACCCAAAGTCCACACTCTTTTGGCTACAGGGTTAGAGTGCAGAGAGCACTGGGGGTCAGGAGCCCAGGGGCTCCTAATATAGATAACTAATATTAGTTATCTCCTACTGCACTTGCTAGTTATCAGCTCTGCACTTGCTAGTGGGCTGACCTTGGGCAAGTCACTTCCCTAAGATTCTTGGCCCTGCCACATACTAGCTTTGTTATCACAAAGCACTGTACAATCTGAGGAGCATTAGGGGGTGTTGTAATGGGAGGACATTATTGCCATTATATGGGAGTTGGCTATTCTTGTCTCTTCTGCCTTCAGTGGGAACTCTGTTGTGCCTTGTGAATAAAACCTGTAGAGGAAGCACAACTTGAAATGGAAAAATCTCTGGCCAGACCAGCTCAATTTCCAATGGCCTGGGACATTAAAGTAGCCAGGTACCTGGAGATTGCTAAAGCACTCTGAACAGACATTCAACTCTAGCACTTCATTTCCTTAACAAAGATTGGAATGAACAGAGAAATGACACTGCAGGAATCTATTTTACAGACAAAGATTGGAAAAATAAGAGAAAATGAATTTCCGTCACTTCTATGTGCAGATTGAAGCTCTTCAATTGCCCAGCCAAATGTCACTGCATTTACGTCAGCATATCATGCTGCCAGGTCCAGAGGACAGGAATCAGCTCACACCGGGGGGCCCCAGGCTCTTGCTGGCCCCAGTGCTTTGACTCACAACGGACAGCTCCCTAGGATTTGGGGTCTGGGACAATCCTTTGGGAATTCTCTGGAAATGCTGTCTACTGGCCCAGCCAATCTTTTCCCAATAGCATTTAATGGAGTCTGACACCTTCTAGGGCTTTATGCTGAGGTGAACCTATCACCTCCTTCCCACCACCCAGATGCAGAAGTGGCCAAATAAATAAGCAACTTTACTACAGTTTTCCATATTGATTCTCCAAACCACATACATGATCAAAACTTGTACAGACACACCCTATGGCCCAGCAACTTCCCTCCCCAGTAATATTAGTTTTCTCCTACTGCATAACAAACTGTCTCAAAATTTAGTAGATTAAAACAACAAACATCTATTATCTCCATTTCCATGGGTCAGGAATTTGGGAGCAGTTTTGCTGTTTGCTTCTGGCTCTCAGCTGGGCACGGTGGCTCATGCCTGTAATCCCAGCACTTTGGGAGGCCGAGGCAGGCAGATCACGAGGTCAAGAGATCGAGACCATGCTGGCCAACATGGTGAAACCCTGTCTCTACTAAAAATACAAAAATATTAGCTGGGCGTGGTGGCTCACACCTGTAGCCCCAGCTACTCGGGAGGCTGAGGCAGGAAAATGACTTGAACCCCAGAGGCGGAGGTTGCAGTGTGCCAAGATCACGCCACTGCACTACAGCCTGGCAACAGAGTGAGATCCCATCTCAAATAAATAAATAAATAAATAAAAATTTAAAAAACACGGTGCTGTGCGAAAAAGATAAAATACAGAATGAGTTCTATAGCACCAGTCCATTGATATCAATTAAAGATACACACAGGTAAAACAACAAAATACATTTTGTAGGAACACTTAAAAACAAAATACATTTTAGAACAGTGATCTATGGGGGTGGAGTAGGAACAGGAGAGGGCAATGAGGAATAAAGGAATAAGTAAATAAACATATAGGGCCTTAAAGGAACCAGTAATTATGGGTGTCAAGACCTGAGAAATAACCCGACACGCTGCACCCAAGACCCAAAAGAACCCTTGTGTAAGGAAAGAGATCACTTCCCTACACCTGGATCAGCTAGGGTGATGCCACCTACTGCACAGCTCTCTTCGGGATGGTTGCTTTGTTGTTGTTGATAATTATGTTGTTTTTTTGTTTGTTTGGTTGGTTGGTTGGCTGGTTCTGTTTTGCAACCAAACCCCCATCTCCAACCCACTCTCGAGAATTCCAAACTCCATTCGCACCTGGGTATTGCACAAACTGAATTCATTACCTTCCTTCTAAATCAGCTCTTCTTCCGTAGGCTCTCTCAAGGAAGGGCTCCACCATCCACCCAGCCATCCCATCAGAAACTGCATTATCATCCATCCTTCCGCCTTCTCGCTCTGCCCAGATCTGATAAGACACCCTGTAGATGCCAGTTCAAGCTCTTATCATCCCGTCTTTCTAGATAGGGCCTTCTTGTCTGCAGGTGGAAGTACAAAAGGTACTTGCCTTCACATCACTAAGACACTAAGGTGTGAGGAACAAACAAACAAATAGCTCACACTTGTTCAAGCAAAAACTAGCACACATGTCGCCAGGCCCTGCTTTCCATCTCCAGGCCCAGCTCTACTGTCTGCCCTGGGTAAGCATCCCCTACCCACGGCTCGCAGACAGGTTCTCCTCAGGAGGGCATAAGGTTCTCCTCAGGCAGAAACTCCTGGTCCTACATCCTCTCAGCTTCACATCCTTCAGGGGAAAGTAAGACCTTCTTCCCAAGCATCGCTGGCTCTCTTTGGGTCATGTGGCCATCCCTGAATCAACCACGGTGGCCAAGGAAATGCTCTGATGGGCCAGGCCTGAGTTCACGTCACACCTCTGCACTGAGGTAGAGTCACCTCTCAGATGCGCAAGGAATGGCAGTGGGGCAGGATGGGGTCCCCTCTATGGGAATCAGGACACAGTGACCAGATGAAGGGCCAATGGCACCTGGGCAGCTCCATGGTCAACGACTACCACTATCTCACAGGGTGTCATGAGGATGCATTGAGATTACAAATTGGGCATATAAGATACTCCCAATAAAAGTCACTATTTACTATCACATTTAGGATTTAAAAAGAAAAGGGGAAAAAGGCACTATTACCAACATCAGCGTCATCTTGCATCAACATCAGCGTCATTAACTTGTAGGCAAGTGTTTGAGCACATTGATACTTTAAAAAATTAGAGGCCAGGCATGGTGGCTCACACCTGTAATCCCAGCACCTGCACAGGTCAAGGCAGGTGGATCACCTGAGGTCAGGAATTCGAGACCAGCCTGGCCAACATGGTGAAACCCTGTCTCTACTAAAAATACAAAAATCAGCCAGGCGTGGTGGTGCGTGCCTGTAATCCCAGCTACTTGGGAGGCTGAGGTAGGAGAATTGCTTGAACCCAGGAGGCGGTGGCTGCAGTGAGCCGAGATCATGCCATTGCACTCCAGCCTGGATGACAGAGCGAGACTTTGTCTCTAAATAAATAAATAAAAACTAGAAATCCAAAAATTAGCAACACAAGCAAATGTAAGCCCTTATAATCCTTAAGCAGTTTTAGCAATAGTAGATAATGGCCAGTCAGTGCCACTCATGATTTTATTCTGCTTCCATAAATTAAAAAGCTTTTACATGTCACAATTTTCTAATGAGTACATACATTATTTGTCGACAGCATCTCAGTTTTAAATTTAAAACACTCTATTAGAGTTAATCAAAATCTTTAGGAGAAATGACATATTCCAGTTTATCAGAATTCCTGCAGTTCTTCTGGTGGGTTCCACACACACAACTTGGGCCCAGGTTTTTACCCAGGGTCCTTGGCTCAGTCTTTGAGTCTTTTCTACCTCAAAGTGTTCTCACCTCCACTAAAACGTGAACTCCCAGAGGGCTGAGAGCCTGTCCACACTTCCCTGAGTCCCCTAAAGCTGCCTGTAAGGGTGAAGTCTTCCGAGTTGGTTGTGTGGCTCTCTAGGGGTCTGGCTAGCCACTGTCTGGCCGTCCATCTGACTGACAGCACGGCCTGGATCCCAGTCATTGGCAGAGTTCCCATCCGTCTACACAGCCCACATCCTTCCAGCCCCGCTGCCAGCCAGGGCTTAGGTCCCATCCATTAGAGGCTCCATTTGTGCCATTAACGGGAGCCCCGGCAACAGCTGCCGGCAGCAGGTGCAAGGCCAAACAGAGCCCGGCTCTGGAGAGAAATCTTTTGCTTGTTGGAACCAGCTGTAGGGACGGTGAAGAGAAGTGGGAGGGGGCAGTTCTTTCTGAAAGACAGCACAGAACAGGGAAAGTTTGGTCCTGGCCATTTTCATCTTTGAGTCCGTCAGTCTGACGGGCCAGCTGGTTGTCCACCCAGCCACACTAGTGCTGAATACCCCTCCTCACAGGGACTGGACGGCCCACCTGCTCCTCACACTTCTAAGGAGCCCCTGCTCCATCTCCAAGTCCAAACTTGCCTCCTTCCCAGCGAGGGGAGGAGATAAATGAAGAGAAGAAAACAGACCACCAAGTAGAGCCTCCATCTGTGGAATAAATGCAGATTCTCAGGCCCTACTCCAGATCCCTGAATCCGAATCTGCAGTTTAACAGTCTCCAGGTGCACACTGAAGTCTGAGAAGCCCTGGCTTGGAGAGCAGGCATTCGGTTCATCATGTAACCATCTTTCCTGAGCCTTCACCACATGCCTGGCACTGGAGTCCCTCAGTGACAAAGCGGAGAAAATATTCCACTTCTTGTGGCACTAACTGTCTGGTGGAGAGAAACAGACAATAAATAAGATAAATACATAAAATAGATAGTATGCTAGTGGGTGATAACTGCTAAGGAGAAAAATTAAGCAGGGCAGAGGAGTAGAGAACGTCAGGGTGGGCAAGGGGCAGTCGTGACTAGGAAGTCCCCCTGAGAGGCAGGAAAGGACCTGAAGGAAGTGAGGCTGAGCGGAGGCACAGAGCGGGGGACAGCAACAGTGTGCTTGGGACTGAGGGGATTCCCGGGATATGGGACTTTCAGTTTTAAAACTAAGACACTCCCCAGGCAAACAGGGACAGCTGGTCACCCTATCACGAGGGTGAGGGTGGTAGATGAGGTCAGAAGAGGGGGACAGCGAGCATCCTGCAGGGTCTCCTCACTCACAGTGTGCCCCCGCCCCAGCAACCCTGCAGCACCTGGAGGCTTGTTAGAAATGTAGACTCTCAGACCCACCCCAGAGCTTCTAAATGGGAATCTGCATTTTTCAAGGTCCCCAGGAGACCTGGCTGTTCATTAGCTCCTTGTAGACCTTGACGAGGACTTTGGAGTTTACTCTGAGTGAGATGGAAGCCATCGCAGATGATGCACTCTCACGTTTAACAGGCTGCTGGTTGGAAATAGACTGCAGGGAGGGAAGCACTAAGGACAGGCCAGCAGTTGTCCAGGTCAGCAGTAACAGCAGCTGCTGGCCCAGGCCAGTCACCACAGAGCTGCTGGAAGGGGGAGGGTTCTAGATAGATTTCCGAAGGGGAGACATCACTGAGGGCTTAAGTAAGCAAAATACTGTCTACAAAAGCTTTCTCCTAACCTCACCTCCCTTGGGTTAATCACGTGCATTAATCCCCTTCCTTCCAACAACACTTTTGGGGGACCTGATTGTAGAAGTCCCTATACTAGAGGAATGAGATCGGCTCACAGGAGGCAGCCCCGAGCCAGCCACTGCAGGACTATATGGTGTGCTCTGTGATGAAGGGAACCCAAGGGGCTCTGAGAGGAAGAGTCTGAGGCAGGAGTTGGAATCCAGGGAAAGGTTCCCCTGAAAGACTTGTCCTCACATCAAAGCTAAATCTCAAGGAGCCCTAAATCCAAGGAGCTCCTGTAAGTACCAGAGGGTATGAGGGAGGGCAGCAGCCCCAAATGCAGGACCATGGGGTCACTCTGGACATGGGTATGGTCACCTGCTGAGACCCGCCCCTCAAGGCTTCTCATTGCCCATAGAACAAGTCCAATCTCATAGCCTAAAGTCCAAGTTCTCCTTCCTTTAAGCCCAAAAGTATTCTTCAGTTTTATTTCCCAGTCTTCTTCTTTGTGACACCACCTGGGCCATCCTCACTCAGGCAGGCGGGCTCCTGCTCTGGACCCAGTCTATAAACAGCCCCATTCTGACCGTTCCTCCAGCCGTACCCCTCACCTTGCAACAAGCATCTGTAGGGCTAAGCCCAAAGTCT